ACTTGAGACGCTCATAAAACACGTGGTGGTCAAAATCAGCCTTTAACACAGGATTTATCCCAACGACTCATTTTTCGCCAAATTTTGGAATCCCTGAAACAACGATTTTCCAGAATATATTAAGATTAATAATTAACAATATTAACAATAATAAGTCTATTATCCAATGTAGATAGGAGGGATACGCACAGAGTTGAGCACTATTAACATAACATTAATCAACAGACGTAGAAGCTTTGTGTAATACATTTCATTGGAAGTATACTTAAAATTCAATAGACGCTGTTTTGGACTTTTCGGAACCAAAATTAGTCCAAAGGCCTGGAAACACGATTCTTTATGGTATTCCACTTGGAGAAGGCAGTTGTAATCCATTTGAGGTTATGCCAATTTTGACGTACATTAATGTACAACAATAATATATTCACTGATGCACCAAAGAAAAGACGGAAAGACTATTTTAAATCATTTTTATAGCTTAGTTTTATAAGAAAATATAAAATTTTTGGCCACTCATCGAGACCAAATGGCACCTAACAAAACGGCACGTAACATAAAATAACGCAAATTGCAGTATATATTTAGTTACGAAGTCCACGACATTACCCCGTTTTAAACTAGTTCATAATCACATGTAACTACCGCCTATATTCAAACCTGCTGCTTTTAGATCAGTAATTGCTTATTTGCAAAATTAACCACTTTAAACACACAGTTTGAGGAACATGAGGGATATTTTTAGCCGAACGTTGCAGTTTTTGCACATAACCGGTTTAAATGATCATACATGTGCTGTAATAGTTAAGTGGGGCCAATTCATTGATTAAAACGTTTTTTTTTAACTCGCTTTCTTGTCTGTTCGGTACAAAGTTTCAAACGATATTAAACAAACTTCCCGATGTGCTATAGACTTGCAACTTGAAACATAGCTCACAAATGGATGAAAATGCAATATTATATAATTTTATTTTCATATTTCCCTTGGGCTACGCCCATGGGCTTCCGAATTTTCAATGTTTACATTTTGAAAGAATGTAAATATATCAATTGAAGTCAGCTGTAATTAGTTTACGCAACGATTGCGTAAAGACTATTGACGCGAGTTGCGTACACTACTTTACCTACGACGTTTTTTAATTACTAACAATCTGGTTTTTAATTACTAACAATCATTACTCATAACTTCTTAGAGAAGTTATGTTTTCGTTGATTGTCATTGTCTTTGAAAGTGATGCAATGACTTATTGTATAATCAGCTGATTTCATGTAATTACGTGTTTGTAAAATTTCGTTAAATAATACGTTACTATTTTTCAGGCAATAGCTTCTGCTTGCAGCATTCTTACTATAAATACTGTATCAGGTACAATTAGGGAAATATTGCATATTTATTTGGACAACTGAATAATATAGTGAAACAATTAATTTGAAGTTAGATCTCAGCATCGAATATGTGGTCCACAACGATTTGGGTGAAACAATGGTTAAGGGGAGATGCCCAGTTTTTCGGTCAAAAAATTAATTTTTTGTTTATTGCATTGAAAAATTCTTCATCTTTTCCTGATTCAGAAAATATATAATTTTAATATATTTACTACAGTCTAACAATCATAAAAAATAATATAAATAGTACTACACACTCGGTTTTAGTCACAATGGGCTGAATTAGCGTCAATGAAATTTATGTTAGAAATTTAATTTTGTTGAATGGTTGCACTGAATAAATGTTGTTGCTAGGTTAAATAGTCAACAAAAATCTTTTTCTGTTTGTTTTTCTTTCTTCATAACATATGTGTATATAATAATAGTGCTGTTTGTGATGAGGAATAATGTGGCATAGGGTAGGCCTAGGCTTGACTTTAAATGAGTTTTTCCGAAACTGTGTTTTATAATGTTTAGGTACCATTTTCCAGACTACTATAAGTACCACTGACTTCAAATTTTTTTCTGTTACTTAGGACATCATGGCCCACAAAGTGTACTAAAAGTTTGCTTCTATGTTTAAAAAAACATTAACAATAAAATTAATTAATATTTGTAAAATAGTGAAAAAAATTATATATTTTAAAAATTTTGATAAAATATGATTTTTTTGGTAGAACATATTTAAATTAGTACAGTTTGTCTTAAATGTCAATACAAATAAGTAGTTAAAATTTGATATGCATAGCTAAAAGGGTTCTTTCTTAAATGGTACCTAAGCAACACGATGTTTACCCATATAAAATGCATTAAATCTAAAAAGTGGGCATCTCCCCTTAAGAGGTTTTCAAAATGAACCAGAAGCACATTTTCATTTATCAATCTAACCTTATTTTGTTTCGTCCATTTAATGAATTGCTGGTATGTAATGTCATGCCTTTGTTTCGATTTTGGTGGCAAAAGATTAGCACAAACAGTTTGTGCTCTCATTTCCATCTCGTCAACTTCACTTTCACTAAAACTGAAATTTTTTATTTTGTTTAATCTACCTTACTTTAACCACCAACTTAGGCTAAAATTACGCGAGTATCAACAGGAACAAGAAGGATCAGCTGATCAACTGATTAGTTGACGTTTTAAGCATTACAGTTTTACTTCTTTTCTCTCTTGAACCTCATTGGTCCGCTACCCGTGTTGTTATGAGAAAAACTATGCTGTTATGAAATGAAACTATGTTTTTATGAAAGTAAACAGCGGTTAAGTGAAACTTTTCAATTCTAAGAACTGAACTGAAATGGCTACTTTAAAAAACGGTCGTAGGTAAATGCTTTAATTTGACAGTTTGTTCAAAGAGCAGAGGTACAGGTTCTGCTCCCGAGAGATTCAAAAGTTTTAGGAGGCCCGTGAATGTTAATCAAAATTTTATTTCATTGAATTTTAACCTCAAGATTGTTCAATATAGAACTCGGCATTGGGACAGCTAGGTCCAATCGTACAAAGAACTGTGATTAAAGATGACTACTAGGACTTTATATAATTGAAACTAGTTCCCCATTGCAGAATTTTGAATGCATAAACGCAGTTACATACAAATTCTTTTTGATCTTAACATTGCTCAATATATGAATACGATACGCGTTCGTCATCCTTGTATCTGGCACCGCGACTATCACAAAGGAAGTACACATCTAAACACTGTAAAAGCAAAAGTCGATTCCGACGGAGAAAAGGAAAGTGTTAAGGAGATTTAGCCAAGTGGCTGTGATAATTCAAGGTAAGCACGTGCGGTGCGGGGGCTATGTGGCAGAATCGCAAAAATCTGCTACCACGACCGCATTCTCAGGTTCTGAAAATACGCGGACGCGGACGGCGCCAAGGGGAGGGCGATTAATTGGTAATATATCGCAACAAGCTTGCACTGACAAAGTAGACACTGAAGGACATGCAAAACTTCACTTTTGGCACTGCCAAGGCAGTCACTGACCGTGCGAGTCGTGAAATATGACTGGCAGTTTGCATGAATTATAGAATCATATTTTAGTCCTGGCAATACGTTGACTTGTGAGAGGGTTTGCAAATATTTCACTACGGATAGTTTATATAAGGAAATGTTTGTATAATTAGTCTACTTAAAACTTTATAATATATCATTTATTTCATAGCTTCTTACGGTTCTTGATACAGCATATAGAAATTTATTTCACTAAATTACCTCAGATAAAGCAAGATTTATCATAAGTAACATGATTTTTGAGTTCAGTCTCTTCGACCTGTTTTCTAGTATATAAAAAACAGGTTACGAAATCAAATATATCTGGATAAATTATAGTCCCATTCTTCTATTGCGTTTAATGCAAAGCCACCAATCTCTGTATACTCTATATAAAGAGATTATATGCGTTGCGAGTCCCAAGCCTCTCTTAAAATAAAGTTACTTTCGCTTGGCTATTCAAGAGAGGTGAAGAGACATAAGCCTGCTCAACAGGTGTTACAAAACGTGTAGTAAAACAAATTAAAAGATATGAAATAAGAGAAGTTATAAAGGGTGGCAACACAAAATAAAAACTTTGAAAAAATGAGCACAAATAAATATGAAAAGAACTACAAGGCAGTTTTGAAGAAAAATTAGAAAATTTAAGATTGAGTTAATAAATATTGTGTGACTTTATTTTTTATGTCTTTATAAATTTTTATCTAATTTTACATACTGATAAAGGTCTTTTGAAGCGCCCACAGGCACACGCACTCCGAACTTCCTTGCAGCCCGCGGTAATCTTCTCTTAATTTTCTTCCCAGGTCCCAACACTTCAACACTCGTCTGTGTTGCGGAGAAAGTTAATCCTTTTGGAGTTACAATAGGATTTATGTCCTTATGCACACATAAAACACAAGTTGAATTAGTTATAATTAGTTTGTGATTCGCGTCATCACACTTAATCCAGGCTTTGGACTGGCTCAATATTTTAATGATAAATAGTTCGTAAACATTTAGGCGTGTTTAAAATCAGCTAGGGCATAGCTTTGTCAATGTTAACATTATAATATATTTACATTATAATATAAGTATGATTAGGCTCATTCAAAATCAGCTAGAGCATAGCTTCGTCCCTGTTAACATTATAATAAATTTCCATTATAAAAAGTATGATTAGGCTCATTCAAAATCAGCTAGAGCATAGCTTCGTCAATGTTAACATTATAATATATTTACATTATAATATAAGTATGATTAGGTTCATTCAAAATCAGCTAGAGCATAGCTTCGTCAATGTTAACATTTTAAATTTATTTACCGTCTTATAAGTATGATTAGGCTCATTCGACTGTAGTCAGTACTGTAGCCTGTTCTGTTCAAGCTTTGCTCATCCCGATCATCCTACCCCCCTGGTAGATTTTTCCACCCCCATGCCCACCTCGCCGTGGAACCGGTCACTGATACCTGCTGGCACTCACACCGGCAAGCCTCAGGCTGTAAAATGGCCCTTTTAGTCAAAGTTTTTAGTCAACTGGCACTTGGCCCTACACTCCTAATTAGACACTTACTGTTATCTAATTACATCATTTAACCTGTTTTATAGATCCGAAGCTGCGACACACGAAGGGTAGAGGGCAGGACATTCTATACTTCAAGTTCTCAGATAAGATCACCCGCAACAGAGTACAGAGGGCGCTGCTGTGGGTGTATGTGAGAGGCGCCCCCAGTGGCGCCACCAGCACAGGACCCTCACTAGGGGGCGCTCCCGTCACCATCTCTGTACTGAGGGTAACCAGGGGCTCTGAGGGGGCAGAGACACCTCTGTCCAACATCGTGTCCTCGAAAGTGAGTTTAAACAATTATCTGCCTCTGGCCAGAAACACCTGGGTGTTGGAAGATCTAGACTAAATTAAAAATAACTTTATATGAGAGTAAACACACACAGAGAAGTGAAAAATAAACGTAATAAACCAAATCTAAAATAGGACAATGTTTACTGTCATTTTGTATTTTTACTCTTTTCTGCTTCCCTTCAGGATATTTTCCTTCTTTGGACTACTTATTCACTTTTATGATTTTGCAGCGTTGGCTGTGTTTGGGTATTAATATTGTTATGTTGTTTTTTATCATTACCAACCAAAATATCTGAACTGCCAAGCCAAGCCTGTATGACTATGGCGACTAGCGCCACTTATTTTCAAGCTCCTGCTCCTCCTCGGGACATATACTTGATGGTCTGCTGAGGGTCCTAGCCCTGGTAGCCCAGCTAACTGTTGTACTTACGTCAGCAGTCAATCTCTCATTTTACATAGATTTGATTGGGGCGAATAGAGTTTTGCGAATTTGCTATATCGTCGGGGTTATTGGCTAAGTGGAATCTTCTTTGGAAGAGCACTAATCATTACTAAACTATATTTTTGTGTCTCTTGCAGGTTTCGAGGCAGAACGACTCCGAAGGTTCTTGGGTATCCCTGGATGTCCGGAAGCTGCTCGAGTATTGGTTCAAAGTTCCTAGTGAGAACTTGGGTATCGTGCTCCAAGCCACTGGGCCACGGGACTCTCTAGGTCGCTCCCTCATCGTCACGGACCTGCAGGAGGCGAACGGCTCTCTGGTTAGAAGTTTGAAAAGTTATCAATTATTAGTACAACCTTCCAAAAATAAAAAGATAGAATGGCAGTTATCAAGCAATATGGTCAAATAATATGGGTTTATATCAAACGACCTATGTTTTCGAACCTACATGTTTAATATCAACTAAGCCAAACATGGCCAAACACAAAATACATTCACCACTAGTTTTGCAAAGAGTCATAGCCAACTTACAGATATGAATACACAGTTGCTATGCGTATAATATGTGCGGTTCTAGAGTCGACCTATGTCTAGTAAAAGTTTAAACGGGGTTTTAGACATCGGCTAAGTGTGGATCGGTTAAACCAATGGCCAATCTTAGGTCTAATATTAACCTAGCACTAGCAGTGTCAATACTAAACGCAGTTTAAAGAACTTTGTAGAGTATTTAGGTGGTTTAAATGGTACGCTACGGTTTGCTATTGACGTTTCTTCAAATTTAAAGTAAGAAAGATTTTAAATATGTAGTATTGAACGGTATAAGTGAAAGCGGGTTATTAGAACCTTCATTTCCAATTCCAACGGATATCTTAATAGTTGCACTATCACTTAGCAGAATTACCCATACAATGTTTATTTATCTCGTACAGTCAATGCACCAGACCCCCCCTCCCCCCCCCACGGAGTCCGGTTAAGTGATGGCTACAGTTTAACCTTGACTGTTGACTGATAATGCAATGAGCTCCTCGTGGTGGCGGCTACATCAGACGCTTCATTGCGTGCCCCAAAACATGAATATTTATAAACTTGCAGTATTGATCACAATAAATACTCTTACGACTCGTGGCCTTACCACTTCCAGGGCCATTATTGTTACCATATGTGTTGATTAATTTGGTCAAAATGTTTTTGTGCTTGTGAGTTTTTTCTGCTCCCTAAATATTCAAAAGTTCAACCTAATCCGTTGTGTGAAAAAACCCTGTCACGTTTTAATATAAACTAGAGGTCGTCCAATAGCTGAAAACCTGACCCAAAATATGTAATATACAGACTTTTCTATTTTTACCCCACCATGTAATTAGAACATGTGATTGGAATTTCTTCATTTGTTTTATTTTCTGTTTATATTTCGTCTCCAACATGGTAACCCATAAGACCCATGATCATTTTTAACCGTCTTCCCCACTACCAACAAAAGGAGGAGGTTTTCAATTTGTCTGTGGCGATGTTTTTTTTCTATGTAAGGTCACCAATTTCTCTATGATTCTTTTACCGATCAGCGTGGTTCCACCACCAAAATAACCGGGAGAGTTTCTATTTGGTACCATATATAGCATTATGTTTAAAAAAATATTTGGTGAAAAATGCTGAAAACCTCAAATATTCAACATTTATTTTGTTTATATTTTTGCAGAGAAGGCAATAAATAATAATAACATACCTACAGCTGTTTGTTAGTTAAAATCATTTAAATGAAGCTACAGACAGTTTCTTCATGAAACAGTTGCTTCATATTGATTAATAAAATATTTCTTGCCATGGAGCCTAAATAAGTTACATTGAAAAAATGCATTTTGTTTTGGTTACTATAAAAAAGGTTTTTAAACGTTTGACCTAATTTGTGTATGATTCTGTTTTGAGTATTGAATGTTCTGACTTATAAAAACATAGTGAATAACTGTATGATATTGACAATTTTAGGTGTATTGTGAAAACTATAGCATTCGTAAAAGAGGTCCAAATATAAATTAGATGCAATTATTCCACGACATAAGAGGTGTGAGATTCCATAATCGTCAATCGTCTTAAAAGTGTTAAATATTTTAATTACCAAACATGCATTTGAAGATGTGGAATGTTTATTAATATTCTTCACTGTCAATAATATTATGCCTGCTTCGGAAATGGGAAGCTGATTTGCAATTTCAACTACATCTTGAGCAAACAAAACCACCTACCCCTTACACCACTTTTAGCTGAACCAATCTTTCATATACGTATTTTTCAAAGGTAATATACGTGATAACAACCGCTTTTCTACTTTTAAGAGATTTTTTAGTGCTGGTGGCTGAGGAATAACTTTCTTATTGTTCCAAAAGGCTTGAGATCTTACTGTATTTAGTTTTATAATGTAGAAGTACACCAAATGCAGGAAACGATGATGTCTGGCATTTCAATGTCTCTAGGAAAGACATTTAGTTTTTCATTAGGCCTAATGTAATGGACATCTCTTTGTTTTTTTTTTAAGGAAAATCCAAAAATGTTAATTTTTATACCCATTGATTATTTAAGTTGAACAGGTGACTCAAGCAGTTTAAAAATAATGATTCTTCTCTGGCACTGTTGATTGTTTCAAACAGTTTTGCTTATCAAAAAACTTAAATATATAACAAACTATACAGTCACTAAAAATAAATCATGAAATAATTTATATTTGTAAAAAAATACAACCGACTTCAAATGCTCTAAAAAGAATGAAACAATTTCAATAAAGTAAACTTTTGTATTAGTCAAGCTCACGTATTTCAAGTCGGCGCGGCTCTAACTGCAAAAACGAGTAAAATAAAAGATATTGAGAGTGTAATTTGAAAATCAATAAATTGTAGCTGGATACCATAAATATATAAAAAAACTTACTGAACTGTTTTGTTTATATATATATCAAAGGAAGTATTTTCTTTTATTTTATGTTTACTTCAGATTGATTGCATAGTGAAAATAACACATACAAATGTGAATAGGAAAATAATTTATTTTGATATTATGATGGGAAAAGAAGCTAGTTTAAAATTAAAACGTTACTTTTCCAAGTTAGAAACTTGTAAATACATTATAATCTTTTTAAAGATATTCGTTAATACCACTATAATATTATAATCACCTTTAGTTATAGATAGTCACCTGCAATGTGGACATCCTCTTTAAATTTTGTATCAAAAATCATCATAGAGCCGCGCCGACTTAAAATACGTGAGCTTGACTAATACAAAAGTTTACTTTATTGAAATTATTTCATTCTTTTTAGAGCATTTGAAGTCGGTTGTATTTTTTTTACAAAAATAAATTATTTTGTCAAAACTGTTATGGAGACACAATCATCGTCTTCTGATTTCGCGAAACTATAGTGAAGATCTCTCGCGATCGTGGACACGTTAAATTCGATGATGGTTGGAACCAATCCTGTAGGCCTACAGGCAAAATCCCAAATTTAATGTAATCCCCTATTGCAGATAAAAGACACATTTTCCTTAAAAATTCCCTGTCATTTTAGCACCTGTCCATCCTGGCCTAATCGATATAATCTAAACTATGACCTATTATTTTCAATGATAACAAACATTTCTGTAAACAGCTCTCTCCGTAAACAGTTTGCCTCCACTCTACTGACTCATGTCCGCAGGTGCCGTTCCTGGAGGTGTACGTGGCGGAGAACCGCAAGCACAGAACCAAACGCACTCTGATGCACGACTGCCATGAGAACAGCGAGGAGACGCGCTGCTGTCGCTACCCTCTCACCGTGGACTTCGAGGCCTTCGGCTGGGACTGGATCATCGCACCCAAGAAATACGAGGCAAACTACTGCTCAGGGGAGTGTCCCTTCGTGTTCCTCCAAAAGTACCCTCACACCTACGTCACAGACATGGCGCGCCCCCCGGGCACCCCGGGTCCCTGCTGCGCTCCCCGCAAGATGTCCCCCATCTCCATGCTCTACTTCGACCCCAACCTCAACATCATCTACGGACTCCTGCCCGGCATGGTGGTCGACCGCTGCGGATGCTCTTAATACCATCCCTTGTACATATAGGGTTCTACTCGAGGTATCTGATAGTATAGTACAAACCGGCTCGTACTTTAGAGTAGTAGTGCATGCCGAGTTAATCGTTTGCGAGTTTTAGGATCGAAGTTTTTCGCGGCGGGGATGATCTTTTAGTGCCAACGAAACGTTCATAGCTCGTTGCTCGCTAAGACGTGGACACAAACCGGGCGGATTCTAAATTCTTTAGTCGATTAAAGTATTTAACGGGAGAAAAGAAAAATGAAGGGAACCATAGACGGACGATCTTTATACGCGGCCTACTAAGTATTTTAGAAATTAGAGAACATTGTGATGCTAACATTTACCTATAGGTAGATATTAGAATTATGAAACTCGTATAACAGATTTGTGACCACAAGTGTCGATTACCGAAATGCCTTTTTAGATCGGTAGCCTTAGCTTGTAACTGGTAAGACTGGGTCGTGTAGTTTTAAAGAGCTGTGATATTTTTGTAAAGTCGTATGTAATGCTCAAAATTTGTAAAACGATTTTTAACAGCTCACTTTAAACATCGGTTATGTTGGTTTTTAAATTACACCCTTCTTCGTCACGGTTTTGCGAAAACTGTGTTTGAAAAATCTTAGAAATCGTTTTGATTCTGAAAATACGAGTCTGTGATTGCTTGGTAATCGTCTTGTGGTCTCACGCCTTTCATTGGTGCTCGTGGAGACATGGGCGGATTTGGGTTTACGATTAGTATTAAACATGTATTATAGCTTTTCTTAGAGGCTGGAGACTTACTCAACCCGTCATAGCGTTTTGCACGCCCTCACAACCACCCGCGTCCGTGGACAGATGCTCATACCGATAAAGAGTTGATAAAAGATAAATCATGATATTGATACCTCTTTAATCTTTTACCTAACTCAATAAAATTTCACAAAGCGAAACAAGTTGAAAAGTCCCATGCCTCGGAGTGATAATGCGCCGTGATGTTTATATTAATTTAGATTTATCGTAGTCTAGATATAGATATAGGTGTAGGTGTAGGTGTGGGCGAGTAGGATAAGGTTTGAAATTATGGCTGTTGATCAACCGAAAGACTGTATAGGATCTCGTGAGAAGAGTTGGCTGCAGGAATTTCACATCGCCTAGAAAAGAATGTCTTATTGTACAGTATATTGATCTCTGTAACACTTTACACTAGAACACGCTGATCCGACCTTCCTTACTAATGTAAATATCTTCAAACAAAAATGCTCAAAATGTCATGTCTATATTTTTATACACCGAAAAGATTTTACCTCGTACGATGCATTACCAAAACCTTACTAAAAATCTTGTTTACTGTACGTTTTTGGCATTCGACTTCACTTGCAGCTTATTTAATCAAAATGCAAAATGCGATCAGTGTGTCCTAGGGAAAGAACAATAAATAATTGTTTTATTATATGTACATGGTAGATATTGTGTAATGACTACTTCAGGTTTCTAGGTCTACTAGAAATAATGGTGGAAAACCACTTAGATAGTGATAAAGTATAAAAATAAATATATTTACATGTCATTGCTCTTTGGGTAATCATACACTTTTAAATGCCAACGGAGACTTAATTAAGTAGTAAAACATGTACACCAAATAATTTTATGCATTATTTAAAAACATTTGATAAATTATTGAATATCGAAAAATTACAGACTAACACAAAATAAATTTTATTAATATTGATAATAAATTTTTGCTATTTGTCTATGATGAATTGATTTCCAAAAATGCTTGACCATAGAAGATAATTTAAAACAATTTCTGTTCAAATAATTTTTTTTTAAGTTTTGAAAATCATTTTATTGGTATATATTAGGACGAACCACCATGCAAAATGGAATAGTTATTTAGAGTAGTATTATTGTTGTTTTCCTATAAATGAAAACTATAATGTTTCATCATTGCTTTAAGTCAAGCGTAGGAATAAGGTGATAAATATTATATTTACGATATATATCTATGAGCTCAAACATTTTGTTTTACATAGCTAAAAGGATTTAATTAATCATAACTTGCTCCAACTTGTACTCCAACTAGGGTCGTGGAGCATATGTTTTTTTTTCTTGGGATTCTGAATGAAGCAATTGTATGATTGTTGGCGATAGATAGGTAACATGTGGAATCGTGTACCACCGAGTATTGTGACACATCATTATAAACTAGATTTTCACGCTGATTTAAATTCCGGAAACACGTTTGTAAATAAATACTTTTTTGATTGGAAGATTATTCAAATGAAAACAGTCCCCCATACATTTCTTATGGACGTTTCGTACTTTGAACATTTGTATGATTATTTTTCCTATATCTCCAGTTCTCATTTACACTTGAAGTTCGTTCTAGCCTTAAAATATTCAGAGATGCCATGTAAGTTTAAAAATTAGCTCCACAAACAATTGTTTGAAATTTTCTTAAAATAACCATAATAACATGTTGTAGAATTTATTACAGAATTCTAGTGTGTTTAAAACATGGGTTTTTTTTAGAAAAAGTTAAACTAATTCATTGGGAAACTAATTTTTTTGACTTGGGACCTCTTAAATGCGTAATCTCACTTCATTTACTTTCTACTTACGCCAAAGAATAATTGTAAAACTGATGACAAGCACTGTATGTCTTTAACTAAAGACAAATTTTGACATAAAATAATTCAATGTTAAATTAAGTTCCATGACTAATTTTTAAATAGTCAGATTTTATTTAGTGATTAATACTATTTAGAATCCAAAATTAAATGAGTAATTATTTAAGACCAGAAAAAACTTAGTAACGTATTAACAACCCGAGGTATAAATCTTTTAATAAACATTTATTTCTAAAAGGTGAATTTAATATTTGTGTTGGGGTTTGTAGCTTGAGTTTTACTGGCCTGATTTTAATTATCAATAGCTCAAATGAAAGTCCTTACTTATCTGAATATTTTAAGGCTAGAACAAACTGCAAGCGTTAATAAAAATTGGAAATATATACGAAAAATAACCTTAAAAAATTGCCAAAGAAGGAAAAGTCCATAAGAAATGTATGGGGAAGAGTTTTCATTTGAATATATCTTTGAAACAAAAAAGATATTTAAGGCATTGTCATCAGTTTGAAAGTCTAGTTTATAATGATGTGTCACAACACTATCATTATATTTAAAAACTGTATTAATATCCAATATGCCAGATCCAAGATGGTGGCCGAAAACAAACGCTAGGCCACACTTTCAGACAAATCACCAAGAAGTACACGATTTTACAGGTATCACCTAACTATGGCCACCAAATGGTACAAGATTGCTTTAATCAAAATCACACGAACCTTTCTATATTTAAAATTGTCCCTACAATATTATATGCATATTTACCATTTCTAGGTGTATATGTTTGTAGGGTATATGTTTTGTGTACTAAACAAATAACTCTAGTGCAACATGGGTCCTTTATCTAAAAAGTCAATGATTATTATTTTTATAGGAAAAAATACACCTTTGAGTTATTACTTGTTTTTCACAAACTTGTTTGGTATATTAGTAAACTATTTTTTGACACCTAAATTATTGTTTCTTCAAGCGGAATCCTAGCTCAAAAAATAACATGAAATATCAATTATTAGGATATGTCATGAAAGAGGAAGTCTACATTTGAGTTATTTTTCGTGTAACAGCTTTAACGTGTATTTGATTTAAGGTGGTAAAACCAATTGTATAAACAAACTGTGTATGGTATATATCTATAGTAATAGCAATGTTTCTAGAAATTAATTAGGAGATGCAAAATAAAAGTGCATTTACAATGTGAATTTAAATAATTGAGGACATTTATTTGGTATATAATAAATAAAAAAATACTTATGGAAAAAATTTAAATAAACTTTAACGATTGTGTAATGTTTACTTCTTCATTTGCATTAGTAATGTAGAGGTGCATGAACTAAGTTCTATGAATGGGCAACTTGCAGTGTTGTTATAGGGTTGTTTATGAGTGGAATATCCCTGTTTATCGTTAGGACTTCATTGTTGCCAACAGTACCAATAAAATTTCCCGTAATTGCATCTATGATAGTTTGATTTTGTATAAGCTTTATACGAGTAGGACTGTTATTTATTTAGCTGTACTTAGAAATCAGGATTTATGTTTGTGTTATGTTTGACATTTTATGTAGTATAATCAGGTGTTAACATAAGGGATTTCTGTGTTTAACGAAGCAGAATTTCATGTAAAACATGTAGACACGATTTTAACAAACACGATAGAATACGTCTTTGTTACTTTAATCAATTTGTGAAAACAAGTTTCATAGAAAAGCTGTTCTTTTCCTACAGTTCAAACTTGTAAAATAGTAAACGCATTGTGTTCAGTCCGTAGATGCTAAACTTTTACCCACTTTTCGTGCACATAAAATTAAATTAAATTTGTAATATACGATATATTTAGATTAACTGTACATAATCAATATTTAGGCTTATCTTACTTTAAGGTTAATAAGCCCTTCACTAAAAATGGTATTCATGTCCTGTCATTCTCTTTTGTAAATATAAAACACTTCCATTCACGTAATTTTATGTTTGTTAAAAAAAATCAAAAAGGCTGAATTTAAAAGCCATCATTAGTTGTTCATGTAACTGTTTTAAATTAAAGTATGTGATTTAGATAATTGTCTTATTTTTAGAATATGCTAATTTACAATACGAGTTAGTTTTTCATGTTGTCTAATAAATTGTTTAAATAAACAAAAGTAGTTTTGTGTTTTGTGTACATAATTGTGTTTAGTCCATTATAAATCTGAATATGTGTAATGTACTTTTTTATTAAGTTTAATATTTACTGAAAGATATCTTGGTCAAAGAAAAGTTAACATTTTATCCAAATCCAAAACAGTTTTAGACGGCTTAAAGTGAAGAAGTCTATTTAAAATTCGAAATTCAAATCAAAGATGTCACATGTATGGTTTCGTTATCAAACCACGTAGTAAAGATTACTAGGCATACAGGGTGGCTCAAAAGTAACTTACAACCCCCCCCCCCTTAGCTTTTAAACCGTTTGAGATATTTCAAATCTGTTTGTGGCAACCTTCTTGGGTATAAGGAGCTAAAAAGGAGCTTTGAGTATGGTCAGTTTTGAAAATTTCGCCCTTATGAGTAGTGGGGGTAGGGTATAGCTCAAAATGTTCAAATAGCAAGTATAGTCGAGTTTGGTATCATTTTACAGATCTTGACGAAACATAACAGTTAACATAAAGAAAATAGAAATCGGACTAATAATTAAAAAATGGCAGCTGAAAACGATTAAGAAAATGAGTATTAAAAGTAATTTTGAACTGTCATTTTGTTATTAATGGTCTGATTTCTATTCTCTTTATGTTAATTGTTATGTTTCGTCAAGACCTGCAAAATGATACCAAACTCGACTATACTTGCTGTTTGAAAATTTTAAGCTACCCCTACCCCTTATAAAAACTCACCATAATTATTGTAGCCCTTTATATCCAAACAAGTTGCCGCAAACCGATTTCAAATAGGCTATCTCAAATAGTTAAAAAGTTAAAGGGGGTGGAAGTTAATTTTCAACCATCATCATGGTGATTTGGATTTGAAACGTTTCAGGGTGCCATTTTGTTATTAGTGTCGATTTTGGTTTTCTTAATGTCAGTTGTTGTTTTTCGTCAGGACCTGTAAAATGATACCAAACTCGACTATACTTGCTATTTGAATCTTTTGTGCTACCCTCTACCCCCACTACCCGTAAGGCCGAAAATTTCAAAATTGGCCATAATTATTGTAGCTTCTCATATCTAAGAAGGTTGCCAAAAACAGATTTGAAATATATCAAATGGTTGAAAAGTTAAGAGGGGGGGGAGTAAGTTACATTTCAGCCACCCTGTATATCGCCTCATCACATACACAAAACATTTTAATAACGTTACACATTTGTAAGGACTATAACACAACCTCACTTTCCACAACGAATGTATCCTTTTGCAAGTTCGACGTTGTGACACTCAAAAACATTATTTCTTACTTGAGGAATTACATCAATTACTTTGTTAAACTTTTGAATGTGTTGTTTTGACCATTAGTAGAATTAAGTTATGTCTTAGGTTGATACAATTTAAACTGTCCGAAAAAGAAATTATTTTCTTTAAGGGGCTAGCGACCTCTTTTAACCTTGCAGTTACCCGTCTACATAGACTAACTGCCCGTGCATGGAACGTGTCCAGCAAAGGAAAGGGTGAGCCGGTACAGTACAAAGGTGAAATGTACTGATAAAATGTTTGCACCAGTGACCAGGAACCGAGCCCACGACATCGCTGTCTTGTACTCGAAGTCTGTGGCGTTACCAACTGAGCCACCAACTCACCAACAACAACAAAGATACCTATAGATAAAAACTATACCAAATAACAAGAAATACCTTACATTTGTAAATGAATATTCACAATAAAGGGCGTTGGGATCTACCTTGGTAAGATTTCACGACTAGAAACTTGTTGTAGGGGTACATAGATGTACATAGACAGGTGATTGGCATGGTTTGAACCCGAGAGCTTGGGATCCGAAGCCTCGCACTCTACCACAAGACCAGCTCACTTTTCACGTTGCGAGTAGTAACACACTTAATATAATGTTTTAAATCTTTTCGCTTTACATTGCACTGGGCTTTGTGACCAAACGATTTTGTAT